TAGCTGCAAAGCATCTGTTTAAGCTGTCTTGACGTATGCCAGCTAATCTCCAGACCCTTTCTCTGCAGGTAGTGAAGGGGCGGGGCGAGACTGATGACATACAGATACAGCATGATGCTAGGCCATTTACTATGCTAGAAAAGTTGAAGGCAAGGTCCTTTCAATTGATCCAGGGATGAGAAACTTACGTATTGGCTTAACGTTGAGGTGTCATACGTAAAATATTTTAAAAGCAGTCTCATCCTAATAGTTGTATGACATCAGTAGGTAGGCATGCACAATTGCTGAAATTAAAGTACTAAATCTGGTTGTACAACTACAGAAATAATCAGCTAAACAAACTTTCAGCATCCTGAATGACGGGTAGGGGCTGAAGGTTTTAGCTGAAAGCTCCAAGATTTCCATCAAAAGTCCCAAAAACGGTAATGATGTGCTCAAAACAAATACTAGCTAGTGCAACAGCAAGGATAAGTGTTAAGAGTAGGTGTGGTTGCAGTGATATAAAATGTTGGCTATGAAGGCCATAAAACGGGAGCAAGTTTTGAGCTTACTTGCAGAAAGAAAAGACTGATCTGTTATTAAAGCAATTTTCCATCAGCAAGAAAGTTATGAAATCCAAGACAAGAAGGTTTTCATTGTTTCTTAATATTGTTCAATGATGGAGTAGATACAACTACCGTAAATGTTCAAATCAAGGCCAGGCTTGAATAAATGCCTGGTACAAATTATCTCCATGCATAGATATGCATATTTTAGTCAATATAGGTACCACATAATTTAGTGTCACACATGGCCTAATTTGTTTAGCTAAGTTCATTAAATGTTGAGTTGTAGGTTGGAAATCTGGGTATTTTTAATTATTTTATGCCAATTTTTTGTCCTGAATAGAAATAATTGCCCTGGCTTTTATTTGAACATTTATGTACATACAGTGACTGACTGACTGCTTTATAGCCTTGTGATAATCTTGATGCAATCATGCATCAGTATCAAGATCTGCTGTGTATCAATGCTTCACTTGCTTAGGCTCGTCTTTAACTGTTATACATTAATGATAACATTCCCAAACAAATTTAGTACTTATGTTAAGTCACATTGAACATCATGCACAAATTAGTAAAAATAACATTTATATGAACTCACTAAAATGTCTTTCTTTGGTAACTAGCACTTCTAGTAGCTGGCAAATTCACTACATAATAAATATACATATCAGGGTTTCATAGAGTGGGGGCACAGGGATTCCCCCAAACATTAGGTTTCCCCCCCAATCATGCTCATTGTCACACCATTGATATATCATTTACAACTGAATTCTATGATTTTTTTCTTTAAAAACATTTAAAATTTCATTAAAGTCTATATTGGTAAGATTTTTACAAAACTAAAATCTATCTTCATTATATAGGTTGTTGTAAAGAAAAACAACAAGAAAAGGTGTCATTCAGTGCACAAAACGTTCAGTGGGAGGACATAGCAGGAACTCAGTTGTCAATGCAATGTGTAAAGATCCAAAAATAGCAAAGTTGATTGCTATTAAAATGGGAAGAATGGTTTACACGGAATTGAGAATGACTGTTTCAAGAGCAGTAACTCCCCAAGTTTAAAGATAAGTCAGTAAATGCTGTTGTCAGTTCCTTGTCAGTTTCAACTGGACTGACATACTCAGCGACATCAAAAGAACTGCTGCCCTGCTAACTACAATGTTACAAAATTTTGTTGGTGCTGGGTCCTCAAAATTAAATGATGCTGAGGCGAAACGCAAAGAAATTTTTGCCATGATTTCTGCTGGGATTTTGCTACAAAGCTGCAGTGAAAGGGCCAATTTAGTGAAATGATATATTTCCCTGCTTTTATATGCCAGTCACTGCCCAAAGCAGGTAGAGTTGTTTTCTTAATTACAACTTTATGCATCAACTTTATTTAATATTTACAAGGCAATCAGGTTAAGTGTATCTCACAGAGCTGCTATTAGACTAATAGATCTAATGGATATGATATCAGCGTTAAGGCATGGAAAGACAAATATTATTATTAGCTAATATGTTAAGTTAGGTAAACATTATTTGAACTACTAAATAATGTCACTTATGTATTTTTGTATACATGTACATTTAGGATGTCATTATAGATTCACATACACAAAGCATTAGTATCTCAAATCTTTCTCCTCTTTAAGTTCAAGATGTGCATGTAGAACAGGTAGAACTGACAGATGTAGAATCAAGGAAAAGCGATACACCAGAAGATATTGGTTCTGATGACACAGTCAAATCTCCTGATTTTTCACCATTGACTAATTGCAGTGTTCCATTTTGAGCAATGATACTACCGAAGATGAAGGAGGTATACTAACACCACCACCATTCAGCAACCAATGTCATTATCATTTAAATTGATTGATTATAACTTGGACAAATCTATTAGACCAAGGCATGAGACTGTTGATCAACATTTAAGTCACTGCACTTTTTTTAATATGTATGCTGTGAGAAACAGATTTGATAGTTCAAGTTTGACAGATGATCAAGCATTGGGTGATGTAGAAAACTGTGATTGTAACCAAGATCTTATCATCCTTAGAAGATGACACTTTTACAGAGTCATGCAAGTGTTCTCGCGTCATTAGGAAATGTTTAAGTTATTTTCTGAGAATGTCATCCCTGTAACACGTCACATCAAACATAAATATTCAAGGGAAATATCAAAAAGGTTGGAAGTAGTAAGTTACAAAGATGTTATCAGCCTTTCATATTCATATTTTGTTACAGTTCCTTTAGGCATAATACAGAAGTGTGAAACTAATGATGAAGATATGATAAGTATTATAAAAAGGCTGCTTAACTATGTTCCTAAAGTATCTGAAACTACTATTATTGATTCTGTTTCAAATACTGACATTGAGATTTTCATAGAAAAATTTCATTACATAACTAGTGAATCTATGTGATTATTGATGTAGTTATTATTCATTATTATTAGTTGTTACCCGGCTGGTTACACCCAGGCAGGTTGCGCTATTGTTATCAACATTAGCCATGTGCTCTGATTTTGGTTCATAACTCTCTCTCACTTGCTTCTTCTCATCTCTCCCTACCTCTCATTCTTTGTTACTTGGTTAATAAGAAAATGGTTTTTAATCCTTTTTACACTCTCAGTGATTCTACTCAAACTTTATGCTTGCAAAGCACAAAATACACTACAAATTGGCTACAAGAGTAATGCTCAAGTACTCACAGCTCCTCAGTTCAATGAGACTCACGATGAAAGGGTGAAATTTACCGAGAGACTAGGATACTACTTTGTAGCCAACGCTATTGATGATGAGATAAGCAAAGAGCGGAATTCCTCACTAGTGCTGGTGCGTCTACTTAGCATCTCGTTAAGTCACTGGTATTGCCTTAGAATGTTACGGAGTTTACCTTTCAGGAGTTGGTAGATAAGGTCACAACTCACTTTAATCCTAAATATTCGCCTATAATGAAGCATTTTAAATTTAATACCAGGTCTACTCGCCCATTGATGGTTGATTTTAAGGCTAATGATGTTAGTCTTCAGATGGAGTTAGATACGGTGTCACTCATTGGGGAAGAAATGTTCCGTTGAATCAAAGGAAGTACATTCGTTCTTCAGCCTTCTCAAGCTCAGATGTATACATACACAGGGGAGTCCCTTTCTGTCTTGGGTTCAGCTGATGTCCAAGTGGAGCATCAAGCTCAGTCATTAAAGCTACCATTAGTCATTAAGAAAGCAGCAGGTCCTTCATTATTGAGAAGGATCTGGCTCTCTGTACTTAAACTGGACTGGCAACATATATTCAAAGTGAGGTCTAGCGTAATCTACATGTGGTCCTTAATCAGTTCTGTGAGGTTTTCAAAAAGGAACTCGGCACTGTACTAGGGGTGAAAGCAAAAATACATGTCGAGCCAGCAGCTTCACCTATTTTTCATAACTCCAGATTATTATCATTCTCACTTAGAGCTAAAGTTGAAGCCGAACTCTACTGGAAGAAGGTATTATCAAGCCTGTAAGATATTCAGACTGGGCTGCACCTATAGTGCCTGTCCCAAAGGGAGATGATACCGTTACAATTTGTGGCAACTTTAAAGTTACCATTAATCGTGCTGCTTACATTGATAGATACCCATTACCTCAAATCGAAGACCTGTTCACTACGTTAGCCAGTGGTAAACTGTTTACGAAACTTGACTTATCACACACTTATCAGCAGGTGGAGCTAGAAGAGGAGTCCCGTCAGTTAGTGTGCATACACACACACAAGGGGAAAAAATGATGAAGAGCATCTAGCCCATTTAGCAGCAGTATTAAACTGTTTATTAGAGTCTGGCATAAGACTAAAGAGGCAGAACTGTTTCCTTTTGCCTTCAGTTGAGTACCTTGGTCATGTGATTAGTGCTGAGGGTTTAAAAACCTCTGAGTCAAGGTCAAAGCAGTAACCAATGCTCCTACACCTACTAGTGTGTCTGAGCTTAGGCCATTTTTGGGATTTGTGAACTATTATAGCAAGTTGCCTAGCTTCTACTCTGGCCCCACTGTATAGTCTGTTACAAAAGAAGTCAGTGTGGAAGAAACCACAGGAAGATGCATTCCATAAAGTTAAAGAGCTGTTGAAATCCTCTCGTGACTTAGTACACTTTAATGAGAAGCTTCCTTTAATTTTAGCCTATAATGCATCACCCTATGGATTGGGAGCCGTGCTTTTCCACAGAATGCCAGATGGTACAGACCGTCTTATTGGGTTTTTGTCACGTACTCTGTTACTTAAAACCGATACTCGCAATTAAATAAAAAAGCTTTTGAAGTTATTTTCGGAGTCAGAAAATGTCACCAGTATCTATATGGTTGTGAATTTGAGTTGAAAACAGACCATAAACCATTGATTTACATATTTAGTGAGAAGAAGGGTATTCCTACCCTAGCCTCTGGAAGTATTTAGAGATGGGCTCTAACATTACGAGTATATCAATACACTATTAAGCATGACGTACGAAAGGATAAAGTAACAATGGAAGCTATGAGTCATGTACCGGATTGAAATATGCTGCCTGAAGCTCGTATTCCTAGTGACACCTAATGGAATATCTTGATGCATCTCCTACTACCTCCGTTCATATCAGATGATGGACTAACCATGATCCTGTTCTTTCTCAGGTGAAGGAGTGGATACTGACAACTGGCCAGCTCAGGAACCTAGCCGGAAGAGTTATTAACCTTATCACTGGATGAGGTATGAGCTGAGTGTGGAGAAATGGTCCATTTTATGGGGTAGTAGAGTTGTAACACCACCTAAAGGGAGAAAAAGCATGGTACATGAGGGCCATACAGGCATTGTAAGAATGAAGAATTTTGCCTGGGGATGTGTGGTGGCCAGGAATGGATAAAGAATTAGAACGTTTCGTTAAATAGTGTAAAGTTTGTCAGTGAAATTGAAAAGCCCCACCTCTAGCTCTAATCCACATCTGGGCATGGCCTATAAAGCCATGGTCCAGAGTGCATAGTGACTACAGGTCCATTTGAAGGGAGAATGTTTTTAGTTTTAATGGATGCCTATTCGAAGTGGATAGACGTACACATTACTAAATCCTTTACTACTAGTAATACCTTATATCATTTAGTACTCCAGGTTTACTGTTACCAGAATTGTATCAGATAATGCCTCAAATTTTACTAGTGAGGAATTTGCTATATTCATGAGAAAGAATGGCATTCATCATATGAAATCTTCTTATCATACTGCTTCCAACAACCTAGCCGAGCAAGCAGTACAGACTTTGAAGGAGACTTTGAGGAAACTTAAAGAGGGTTCTCTATAAAAAAGATTATCTCAATTTCTATTTAAGTACCGAATCACTCATCATTCTAGTACTGGCGTTTCTCCAGCTAAAGTTATGTTTGGTCGACCTCTGAGATCACCAATGGATGCAATTCGTCTAGATATTGGAGCTACATCTCAACAAAAGCAAAAGAACCTGCATTGTGGTCAGGTTAAGTTGAGAGATTTTTATGTTGAAGATTTGATGTATGTAAACAATTATGCTTCTGGTCCTACTTGGTTACCAGGGAGAATAAAAGAAAAGTGTAATAATGTTATTTTTGAAGTAGACTTACAAAATGGTAGTTGTTTTAGGAAGGATATTGATCAGTTTATTTGCGATATGAATCTACAGATCCAGTGAGTTCTAGCAGTAATAATATGTAGTATTTTGAGGGACCTGTAACACATTAGGAATGACATGTAGCCCTAGAGACTACTTCTAATACTCAAGAAACTATAGAGGATGCAGCATCCCCAGTCCTGCCTCTTCCTATAGAGCAAGACACTAGTAATTATACTGAAGATAGCACTGATAGTACTACCAGCAATGCTACTGCTGATGACACTGCTGGTGTTCCTAAGGCACCAGGTACAACTAGTATAACTGCTACCAATCGTATAAGTAATCGTACATCCGATACTCAAACTACAGTACGACAATCTCAAAGATCTCACCGCCCACCATTAAGGTATGTGGAACCAATTTATTATTAAGTGCTCTGTAATTAATTAATTACCATGTATGGATACCTCTAAATCATTATTAAGTGTATTACATTTCTTTAGTTATTAATTGCATGTGTAAACTAAGGAGGGAGGAATGTACTGAATCTTTGTGATTATTGTTCTAATTATTATTCATTATTAGTAGTTGTTACCTGGCTAGTTACACCCAGGCGGTATGCACTATTGTTATTAACATTAGCCATGTGCTTTGATTTTTTTGTGGATAACTCTCTCTCTCGCTTCTTCTCATCTCCCTCTTTCTCTTTCTCTGTTGTTTGGTTAATAAATATACAGTTTTTTATCCTTTTTAAACTCTCAGTGATTCTACTCAGCCTTTACGCGTACAAAGCACAGAATAACTTCAACGATTATTTGGAGGGGATCAGTTAAGAGTTGAAACAGCGATTGGTGGTCAACTTCAGCGGAGTAATGAATGCAGAGAAACGGATTAATTAGAAGGTCTATTCCCCGTAATTGAAGATTGACATACTAAGGTGTCCTTGCTCCAAGTAAATATAATTATAATATCTGTTTCAACAAACCTAATTTATGCTTAGGCCACTTGGAAAATCCTTCATAAATCTTCCTCTGGAGGAGACATTGGAACTTTGAACAAACTACGTAATAGGATTGAGAAACAAAATTGGACTTCAAAAATTAAGCCAAATTCTAATGCATGTGAGGATTTATTTATGTCAGTCATTGAGTCATACATTAGCGATTGTATTTGAGGAGTTCCTGATTGAATAACTCGATGGCACTCCAAATCATTCAAAGTTTAGCAGAGAGGAATTTTTAGACAAATCGCGTAGCAGAAGAAGGGAGACATTTATGGAAGCTGTAGAAGAAGTAATTGGTAACTACATGAACTTGTACAACAAAAATTACTCCAAAAGAATGTAATTCAGTAAAAGGATATGCAAAGCAAGTTTTCTCTTTGAGGCTATATATTGACATGGGATTCGTGAAGGAGATGGAGACAGAATAATTTGATGCTGGTATTATATGCTGCTGATTTTCGGGTCAACTAACAAAAAAATACTCCATTCAAGCAGCCACTCTTTTCCTGCAATATCATTTCGTATTTTCCGAGAGGATGAAGGAACATTTGGCATAGAGCAGAACTATTAATACACATGGACAACTTGGAAAAAATATCCCAATGGACCTTCACAATGAACCAGATTGTAAAGGAAGGAATGCAAGGGCTATCATCTAATGTGAATGACACTCAAGCTATTGAGAGAATTGGCAGGAGTTTGCAACTTCTTACTGAATTTTTGAAACAATTTTTGACACATGTGTAGATGTCCCAGTATTACACGGTCATCATTCAATTAAAATCCTAAAGAATGACCTACAGCTGGTATTAGAAGAATTACAAAAGGCAAATGTACTCGATGATAAATGAAGGAAGCATAATCAATTTCCTAATTGTAAGGAAAGCATATTATGTAAAATCAATAAGTCTGATTTAGAAAAGTGGTTGAAGAACCAACTTAGTAAAATAGTTTAGCTATCTCACAATCTCTCTCTCAATTTTTTAATGACAATTGTTACTAATAATGTTAATAATAGCAATCACATAAAATTATACTGTAAAACAGTTACAACACTCGCATATCATTGCACAAAAGTCACAGCAAGTACATGTACAGACGTTTTACTTAAGTTACAAAAATAGTCAAAATTCATGAATGGTGATAGTCTTAGGCAAGTTTAAGCCGTATTTCACCATATCTTCAATATGCAGCTGGGAAAGATCTCTCCTTCAATAAAATAGCGCACCTGCTTGTGTGCCATCCCTACCAGCTCTCCCAGTTTCTTGAGTATAACTTTTGAAGTCGGATTGTGGTCCCCAATGAATGATACGCCAGATATTACTGCAATCTATTCGCATTCCAAATGCGACCATTGCAATAAGAACTTGTAACCATGAATCAGACAGAAACAATTTGAGGATACCAGATTTCACGATGCTACTGTTACAGGCACGAAACATGTCAACCAGACAAAGTGGGGTTCCATCAGGATAACCAGGTGGTTCAGTTTCATTGTCCTTCAACTTTCTGCTGGATAGCCAGGTGGTTCAGTTATATTGTTCTTGAACTTTCTTTGGAACATCAAATACAATTCTGTACAGTCTCTAAGTCCAGTAGAAAATAATAGTTATGTTAGTCTGTGTACGATGCTCAAGAAGTTTATTATATAACTTAGCTGGACTCCAACTTCATCTTCCTTTTTTACATGAACTGTAGTATATATTAGATTTTTCTGGTGACCTCATAATAGTAATAGCATTTTTCATCCCTAATAGCCCCATCACTTCTTTACACATCTTAAGTGCTGCAGTCGCTGTCAATGCCATGAAATTGATACTGGAAAAAAACATCGACGGAAATCACCTAGATTACTAAACTCCTTTATAAATTGACTCCCCCTGACACAAAAATGGAATAAGTTAACTATAAGAGTCATTTATATACTAACCAATTTTTAACACAATGAGCTTCATCAATTATTATTACGACCAATCTTTCACATACCAGTGGACTTTGAAATACAGGAAACCAGTCTTTCTTGGTCAACAAAACTTAGAGAGTTGTAATAATCAATTCATAGACATCAGAAACTATTTTTGTTTTAACACTTCTGTCTTCATTATTATTGATACAAATAGAAACCAAATTTTTCTTCGTCAGTAATTCAACTTGGTCCTGCATCAAAGCTTGAAGTGAACTGATAACTAGCACAATAAACCAAGGTGAAGCATGACAGTTGAGGGCATCAAATATTGGTAGGAGACAAAAATAACATAGTGACTTCCCAAAGCGAGTGGGAAGGCATACCAAAACATCATTGCCAGTGGCGTGTTTATAGGGTGGCCAGGTGGGGCCTTGCCCCCCCCCCACATGTGACAAATTTCTCTTGAATGAGTGTACACACTGTGGGTGTGAGCATCTGGGATTTTTCATGTGGCCATGGCCAGTAGATCTATTTTGAATTGCTTCTCATTTTCTGCTTCAAGGTCTACTTCTCGTCAACCAAGCCTTATGTCCGATGATGGGTATTCCAAGGCTCTCAGTCAATCAGATTCAGAGGACTCCTCCAGTGACAGTCATGAGAATGATGCTGGTGCTAGTCAGTGCCGGCAGACCACTCTACCAGGTGACTTCAGCTTTAGCCCGTGTGCCTCTTCACCTTCTTCATCTGTCAGTAACTTAGCACACCCCTCGAATCCTTCTCTACTTTTACCAGTCAATCCACAGGCTCAAGACTCTCGGATACGTAAAGGTCCACATCAACCAAGCCTTGTAAGATATGTTAACTTCTCACAATGGAAGACGTAGGAGCTTTCTCTCCAAGTGGTATGCTACATATGACTGGCTGGAATACTCATCAATAGTTGATAAAAGGTACAGCTTTGTCTGTCGTTGTTTTGCTCATTGTGTGGTTGGGAACTGTTAGGCATATAGATGCAGCATTCACTTCATCATGTACCCAGGATAAAAGATGGAAGAATGCTCGATCTGCCTTGTCAAAACATGAAAGTAGCTCTATTCACAAGCAAGCTGCTCTATGCTGGGTTAATTTTGCCACTGTAAAACCCATTTCTTATCATTTAAGCAAGGAGGCTGAAGCCAGGGCATCAAGGCGAAAAATACATCAAGACAGTAATTAGCAGATTTTATATCAGATCATTGATATTGTGAAGCTACTTGCTAAAACAGGTCATCTATTTTGTGGACATCGCGAGGGAAGTGAGTCATTAAATAAGGGTATATTTCTTGAAATAGCTAGTCTTCTGACAAAGTGCAATCAAATTTTGAATTGTCCTTTTGAATAAGTCCCAAAAAATGTCCTTCTACTTCTAATAGTATTCAAAATGAGCTTCTTGCATCTTTGTATAATACTATGAAGACTGCAATCAGCAGGAATTGGAGGCAGCATCTTGTTTTAGTGTAATGATTGATGAAGCTTCTGATTATGGTCACATAGAGCAAGTGTCAATTGCTTTGCGTTATGTTGATTCTGCATATGTGATTCAAGAAAGAATGCCTCATATTGAATCTACTGACAGTACTGATGCTGAAGCTCCTTTTCAGATTCTTTTGTCTAGTTTGTCTATTATATCACCATCTGCTGATAAGCTAATATGTCAGTGCTATGATGGAACTTGTAATATGCAAGGGGCCAATTCTGGGCTAAAGGCGGAAGTAAAAGCTTTACAGCCAAAGGCTGTTTACTCTCATTGTTATGCCCATTGTGTGAATTTAATAATAGTAGAAGCAACATCCAGCAATCAGTATGCAAGGAAGTTTTTTGGAATTTTACAAAATCTGTATTGCTTTCTTGAAGCAAGTCCTCACAGAAATGCTAAGCTACACTCCATTATTTTACAAGTGATTTCTAAACCTTGTATAAAATCTATAAAGGAACTGTCAGATACAAGTTGATCGTGTAGGAGTGATGCTATTTTGGTTGCTTTTGTGAACTATGTAGCTATAGTTAAAGCACTAGAGGAGATAGAAGTAGTCAAATGGTTGTATTGCTTCTGAAGCTAATGCACTAATAAATCAGCTGATAACATTTGAATTCATTCTCTGCCTTATTGTTATGAAGGATCTGCTTGTCAAAAGTCGTACTCTTTGTGATTACCTTCAAAAAGATGTAGATATTGTTTCTGCTATGTATGTTGTTGATACAACAGTGAAGACATGAAAGGGAAGGGAAATGAGGACTGAAGCACAATTTAAGTACATTTTTGATGAAGCTAAGAAGCTAGCACATGATATGCCTTTTGATGTTCAGGAAATGCAACCAAGAGTACGAAAGGTCAGCAGACATTACGACAATAATCCTGAAAACAAAACTTCATCACTAATACTGAGGAGAAAATATCGTGTTAACTTTTCTGATGTTTTGGATAAAAAGTTGTCAGAATTTAAAAGACGGTTTAATCAAGAATCTCAGGAATTGTTGTTACCTCTAGGAGCCCTTCAGAAACGACAACTTATGAAAGACTGAATATCAGAAGATAGCAGTACACTTTGAGCTTCATGCAGT